ATCTGTATGCTTGACATCAGCGAACTTGCTTACCGAAATCACATGGACAGTGTCTGCCGGGATTAAATTTGCATTGGCCGTCAAACACTTCAATTAATGCTGTCCAATTTATGACGGAGGTTTTTTGAATTCACAGAAGATTTCTTCGGATGACGGTTTTGTTAAAACGTAACGAGTGCTTATGGCTTCAACCATATTTTCAATCGCTCGATCGCTCGCTGATCTCCAAAAAAGCTGAGGGGGGGGGGGCGACTGGCGGGGTGTCCCGATCTCTCTAAAAGCTGACGGGAGGGGGATTACAACTGCGCTCCTGTGGCGTAGCGCATGCTACCGCGAATGCCACCCTCCCCCCCCCCCCCTGCGGCAGCTTTGTATCACGGGGTCAGGCGTGGGTTCAGCGCGAGGTCTGAAGGTCGCGAGTACCGACGCCGCGGGCGACGGCGCCTCTGAGCCGGCGTCTGGCAGCGCGGACGCCTGCCCAGCCTTGACATGGACCGCCGCGTGCCAGGCTGCCAGCTGCACGCTGAAACCCGCGCACAGGTGCGTGCGGTGACCTTGGGCGGCGTCTGCGGCCACCCCGACCCGACCGCGCCCCGGGCGAAGCACGTGAGGCGCCGGCGCGTGTCCCACAGGATGAGGCCTCTGCGCTGCATCGAGGGAGGATGTCCGTGTCCGTGCTGCAAGGGACGACGCCTGGCGCGCGATAGCGTGGCGCTACCGTCGCGCCGACTGAGTCACATGGTGCAATCACCGTAGTGCGATGTGCTGTCCAATGTCACTGCGAGGCGGTGCACGCTGTTTCGGTTGGCGTTGACACCTCTGGGCTTGTGCGCAGTAACGTTCTTCAAAAGGAGTGCTCCACATTTGTATCGGGGTCTGAACTAATTAGCTATCTTACAGATCATTTGATGCAGTCCGCGGCCCTGCCCTTCTCAAAACCTAAGCCCCTTCAGATTCTGAGCTACGCGCCCGTGAAGATGTGCAGACTATTTTGTGGATGCTACTTTAAAGCCACCCGGGCATCCATGGCACCATAAAAACGTCATTCAAATCTTGCCATTCCATTAACCATTGGGAGATCAAGGACAATACAAATGCTGCTGTCGAAACGCTCACGTCAGGCGTTCGTGAACACGGTTTTCAGACGTACCGGCCGCCAGCTGGCTCTCGAAGCAATGCCGTGGAAGGTTGGATGGTTTAGTCGAACAATGACGCATCAATTAGCGCATTTACTGCACTGAGAAATTGTGTTGTCTATAGCAAGTCTTTTCCACTTTAAATTATACCAATAGTTATAAGTGGGCTTATTTCCATCATATCTGATGTCTGGTTCAATACCTCGAAGTGTGGAACATTTCCTTCAGGGAGTTCCTCATGCGTGTGGATAATGGATGGGTAATGCACGCCAGGGAGCTGATTCCTGGAAGTATATCATACAGTGGCCTCCACTTAGACATCTTTCCCTGCGTCACTCGGTGTTCTTTATCTTGCGTTTCTTCTTGTTCTTTAACGAAGCCAGCCCGCTGCCTAAAATGAGCGCCGCTATAAAAAGTTGATTAAAGCGAGCAGCATTGCTTGATCGATGAGCTTCTTCAACAGGCACGTTTAGTCGATATCGTCCCGGAGCCGTTGATCAGCCACGAAAACAAATAATTGGATAAAGCGACACTGCCAGCAGCCGTGGCCACGCCCCCCTGCGAAACGAAATCCGCTCCTACATCATACGGTACCTAAGCCATGGGTCAAAGGTTGCGGGAAGGGAGGCATCGATGTTTTTGTGAAGCCCAGGCCCCTCCGTGCCCGGACGTGCGCCATTCGACGGCGGTCGACGACGACGCGCGCGACGGCAGCTGATCTGTTTACACATGAACCGCTCAATTCCATGAGCCCCGTCGGTGACTGGTCAGGGTGCACTGGTGGGCGTGGCGACGCGGTCGTTCAAGGTCGTCAACGGACAGCGACGCACTCTCCCGGTCACTTGGGTTTATACTGTTCTTACAACGCCGGCGGCGGGTGTTTATTTTATTTCCAAGAGAACTCTATAGGCGCTATCTTGAGTCAAGCGAAGCATTGGCGTCACTCCCCCTGCCGCCAAGATGGCGGCGTGAGCCCAGTAATAGCCAAGCTAAGCTGCGGAAGTCCGCTCTGCCTTGGCGCCATCCCATGGGTTGGAATAGGCTAGAGGATACCCGGCTCTAGGTCTCGCCGACCGCGGGGGTGGACACATGCATGTCTTTGCCACCATCTGTGCTTGGGAAGGTCCGGTTAAGGGCACATCACGCACCTGCATCTGACGATATCGGACGCAGCGGTGTTCACACAGCAGCCTTTTCTGTAACTTTGCAACTCTGGTGGTTTAGTGACTGACGTGCGGCAGTCACTCGTAATTAGTGGCAGTGGGGTCAGGGCAGAGCAGCCCAATAGGTTCGAATCTCACACATGGAGTCGCATTTCCGCCCGCACACCATCGCCGCCAGCTGCCACGTGCCAGACGGTCCAGTCGTACCATTACATGCATGACAAAGTCTCATGCTACTGTTCGGCCAACAGACTTGGTCAAAATCGTCCCTCAGTTCGGATCGTTTGGGTGGTGGGATCAGCATCCAAGCAACCAGGGGTGCCTACCCTGGACAATGAAAAATTGCGAGATTTAATTTTTAAATAAAACAAATTTCCATGTCGTTTCGATCATGACAGTTACTGGTCAGCCTTCAGGGCAGCGCTGTCACACGTATTAATGACAACGTCGTATAATGATTCATAAAATAAAAATAATTTACCAGGCATTTCATTCATTTTATCTCCCGCGGCAAGTACAAATATTTCAAGTCGCTTGGCGCGAGCCCTCATGCCGGAGGGCTGACTGGCATGGCGGTGTCGACTGTTATCAGCTGTTATCCGTGCGTCGGCGAGTACAGCCATCACTTCGCGTCTCTACCCCGACCGGCCCCGCGCGCATGCGCAGAGGCTGAATCAGCCTGACACGCTTCACACTCCTCGAAGCCTCACCTCAGCATCAACCACAAACAACATCAGCCCGTATCGGAAACGCGGTATGCAAGCTTTTGGGACGGCATCGGCTGTCTCATCCACTTGGCCAACGCGGTACAGCTGACAGCGCCTTGGCACGTGCCGCGCAACCTGCCGCCAACACCGCAGCGGGTTCAAGGGTTCAAGCAAGAACTTTTTCGCCGTCAATGGGCGCTCAGAGATCAGAGGATGATGATGCAAAGACGATTCAGTTTCGCCTCTTTCCTTGCCGTGTCACAAGTGTGCCGTTCTACGTCCCAAAGAACGATGTGCCCTGCACCACCTAGCACACCTTTTTGTATTGCGCACGGGGAGACAAATGTCTGGCGTTTCTCGCTGGGCACAGTAGCGTTCTGAAACTGGCAATGCAAATAGATCCAAGCTCCTGCCGAAGGCACGATTTTGTTTGTAACAACTAAAACAAAGTCCCACAAGTTCCCCCAATTCAAGCCCAAATGTCAGAACGTGGAACCTAAACCACGATTAAAACTTACCGTTATGCGCCATACGCTAAGAAGCAATTCAAACCCTCACATGATTATCGGTTAGGCCGCTGTACCCCGCATGCAGTGCTATGATAACGCAAAGGACGCTGGTACGGTGTATCCCGCGACATAAATTAACATGTGCCGCCTTTTCTGTAAACGCTAACGGATCATTTTCTTTCCCTTGTGGCATGGGACAAAGCCAAAAAATGGCGGGTAGTCACGTTTCTGGTGCATTCATCGGGTTTCAACAGGCTTTGATAGATAAACAGCAAAGCCAGCACCGTTTGCACCAATTCACGGCAGGATAAAGTCAACGAAAGGGATTTGCAAAAGTCTCCCAGCAGATCTATAGCTGATTTCACGACCTAGATAAATGTTGCAACTCGAGCCTGACCTAGCGAGACAATATCTGCCAGCATTGTGATGTCTTCGTCCAGCGGTTCGGCTCAGCTCGGTCAGAGAGAGACGTGTAGCGACGCGTCGGTCTGCATTGGACCGAGTCCAGCGGCGTCCTGCCCCTGCTATCCCAGGCAGGCACGACATAACATTTAGTTCGGGTGAACTACCACTCATAAGTCACCTTGCGTACATGCGCCTATCATGCGTCCCGTACGATCCGCCACGGAACGGCGGTCAGCGCCCGCGGTGGTAGGTTCCACCGGCCGCATTCCACCGCGCGGCCGAGGCCGCGCCGCGACACGGCAGGGACAGCATGCTGCGCCGCCGGGCCGGCTGGGCGTGCTCACAGCAAGCGTGACATTCAGGGGTCACTCGTATCTCTATCTGTTTTTTTTTCACCGGGCGCATAAACCACGATGGGAGTTGCGCGTTATCGCTATTTCCATCAACCACCCAGCACCGAATGCCGCGTCAGGCGATGTGCGTGCCTATCGCGTGAAATCGTCAGATTAGCGCATGCCGCTCTGAGAAAATTTCACTCACCACACCAAAAATTGTTACATGGCTATGAAAAGGGACAGTGAAGTTGCGGTACCAAATCCTCTCTTCCCGTTGTTGGTCTAGGTACCCGTAAAAACCTCGCTATTGATAGATCAATGACCAAAACGGCGCTCTCATCCAGCACTTGTGGCCAATTACCATTTTAGGCTGCGCTAGACACGTTGTCAACCAAGGGCGCAGCTGCCGTGTGCGCACCACACCGGAGTCAAAGGCACCAATCACGGCCCCGCCCTCAAAACGCCGCAGGTGAGCGCCATCCCGCCACAAACGACCCCTGGCGAAGGGCAAAGCCTGCTCAAACAGCGCCCAGGTCGAACCGCGCTGGTGAAGAACACGCTCGCCACGCTACACCGACTCCATTTTTACTGTGAAGAAGCTTGACGGGCCGACGATCACTGCCGTCGCTGACGGCCGACGCTGGAGCCGGCAGCCCAATCGATGCGGCTGGGCTCCTCGGCGGCCTTCCGGCGCCGGCGAGCTGCCCAGCTCGCGGCGACCGGAATCAATAGCCGCCGCACCCACCTCTGCATGACTGGGCCAGATCAGCTGGACGCTGGGGCCGGCTGGCGGGCGGCGGCGGCGGCGGCGGCGACGGCGGCAGCGGTCGGCTCGGGTCGGGTCACCTCACCGCCGCGGGCGGGACGGGGCGCGGCGCAAGTGGCGCGGCGCCCAGCCGAGGTCGACTGTCGGCGCCGGCGCTCGTCGCCACCGACGGGGCTGGGTCAGCGCGCGCAGCTGTCGGAGCAGGCGGCGGCCGGCGGTTCGAGCGACGCACCGTTCGCCGCCGCGCGCCGGCTCGACGCAGAGAACCGTCGGCCGCGTTCGGGTGGGATCACCCGCTCGGAGGCGCCGGCGTCGGGTGGCGCGCGTGATATTGATCACAGCTTGGCTCTAGCATCGCTCTGTTTACAAGCGCCGATTGAATTCATGTAGTGGGGGCGAAGGGCACGCCAGGGTATCGCGTCCAGCTGCAGCGCCCAAGCTAAGGATGCGTTTTTTTAAAACCTCCAGGATATGGCCTGAAGTTTTTTTTTGCTATCTGGCGAGCAGACAAATTATTTGAATCCCAGCAGCTCTTGCGTTTTCCGTGCTTATAACTGCGGCAAGCATGGCGCTACTCAGTGTCTTCGCGGTACCCAAGATTTTGATCTGTACTACATCGGTGCTGCTCAAACAAACTTGAATGCAGTTGGATGCAAGTTGCAACGTTATTGTCAAGAACCACGCCCACCCCGGAACCCTTGCAATCATTCTCGGTTGGTGAAAGAAAATGTGTGAAAGAGAAACTGCCGTAACGTTACCGGCATTGCACCACGACCCTTCCGCCCCGTGTTCCGAGATACCATAATTATAGTTAGTTTGCCTATACCACACGGCCCACCACGTGAACACAGCCTCATAGTCCGATTGAAATGTCTAACATACACTTTGATATATTAGAACCTAGGCATTGATGGGATTGAATAACGCTGGTCGCCAGCCTGCGTGAAATGCGCGGAAAGGTATCAAAGTTCCATGAAGTCAGCTGGATAAGGATAAAACGGAGCCGAGTCATAGACCCGCGCTTTAACTCTGATTTCTGCCTTCGCCTTACCAAGTATATTTTCAAGCTGCGGTTGCATCTGCACAATGTGGCGGCATAGGCCGCGTGCGATCTGCCGTCAGCACGACTGCTAGCTGGAATTCGTGACGTCATTGGTGCTGACGGAACGTTCAAGGTGACCGCTAACGGGAAAGTATTTAACTTCACCCTTTTTCCTTCACATTTTAACCTGACTACATGCATGACATACTACCTATAATATGGTATATGGGAGTGTGGCACCTGCTTTGGTATTGCCATCTATCCTGCCTGTAAGTTAAGTATAGCTCTTCTCCTTCCCATCTCATTTCAATTTCTTCTCTTCTCATTCTTAGTGTTGACTCCATGTGTGTAAAAAAAGGTTTGGCTTTCACCACTTCTTGTAAAAAAACAAGGAGTAATGAAAGGCCTCCTAACTTAAACATGAAGCCCGCACTTTTATTCAAGTCTTACTTCTACCGACAAACTTACTACTAAAGCCCAACTTCGAGACGCGGGGCGGTTTGTTCCTTTTCTCCATCTTGTACGATTACTCCAACATCATTGATTTACTGAACAACGCAATCACTCACCACACTATTTACTGTAACTCACTTTCTCCGGCTCCACCTGTATTAGGCAGACCTAGTCCATTCTTCTCTTTCCTACATCGCATTCCCCCCACAGAAGAAACAAATGTCCCCCCCCCCCAATGTACTCGCAAACTCAAGAGCTACCATATCAAACTCCTGCTTCCTTGTCAGAGCGATGTGTGTTATTTGGTTGCGCTTTCCCTCCACGCCGACGGGCCGACAAAAATCCTGGCAGCGGCCCGCGCGTGACGTCACAAACCGCGCGACATTTTGTTAACATGGCGCGACGTAGGCCGAATACTGGGCCGCCAGTCGTGCTGACCAACATACTGACGACAGAACGACCAGGGGATAGAAAGGTCATAAGTCTCCGCGCCACGCACTCTCAACCCGATCCTCGGCCCGAGGCCACCCGGCCCGGCGCGTTGCGTTTCCGGGCGTGGAGTCGGCCCCCAGCTCAGGTCGGGTCGCAGCGGGACCCTGCAGCCAGTGTCAGTTCAAGACCTTAGATACCGGTCGAGTGCCAGATGAGAACAAACCGCTGGGGGGGAGGGGCTCGTTTGAGTCAGGCAGGCGGCCGGCTTGGAGTGGCGGGGCTCGCAGCTGGTGCCCGAGCGCCCGTGTCCGATTACGCCGGCAGGCCTGCGCCAATACCGACGAGATAAGTCGTGCCCTCCGGCAAGAACAATAAAAAAAAACGCCGTAAAAGGAAATATTCGTCGACGGGTGCTGGTCCCGCGTGACCGCTATGCTGGGGCGTGGATTTCGGGACGTGAGATCGACGATCACTGTGGGCCTTTTCGCCATTAGCAGATCTTGCGTCCAGTGATATCGAACGGCGAGCCTGCAGTTCGTTGAAATTGCAATGTTGCAGGAAAATCGCACCTGATCGCACATGGAAATGCAATCAAACCTACGCGACGCCTTTTAAAGAGTTGCACTTCTCGTTGGGGAAAGCTGCAATGGGCCAATATGGGTGGCTGCAAAGGTATGCCCTGATAGAACGCATGACAACCAGGCCGGGTCGCTCATGTTAAGAGCTTTCCCAGTTCTTTCAAGTGTGCCTCTGTCGGCCTGGCTCTTAGTGTTCCATGCTGAGATGCGCCGCACAGCGAAACAAAGCGATTATTTACAGACACTCGTCGTCAGCGCGCTGGCTTCTGTGTCGCTCCGGCCAATGCTCGAACGCCACTAAAGGTTGCTCTAAAATGACAGTCGGAACAGCAGGCTAAGCACCGCCAGCACGAAGCGTGGTTCTTGTTAGATCGGTTGTGCTGCTGGATGAGTCAAGATGGCGGTCTTGTTCAGCGCCGTGTCGCTTGATGAGCTGCGCCACAGTCCAATGCTGCGAAATGTCACGCATTGGCACGCTATAGCGGCGTATTTGAATGATGGCTAGCTCTCCTCGGAACGGCAACGGTCTGAGTAATGTGATTGACGATTTTGTATCATGATTTCATCACCGGATTTACCCGCGGCAATTCGAGATGAGTACTTTGTAAATGGACAACACGGCAGCGCATGGCGAGCACTGGAAGGGGGAACATGAATAAACTCGTAAACTTTCGGAAGACGACGACTCAGTAGCGGCTCCCTCTTGCCTGGCTGGCAACTGGGTGCACGTGCCCCTCAGCGCCGGCCGTCGGGGTGAGTCCGCCGTTATCGCCACCCCTGTGCGGTGACTCTGGACGATAGAGGGGTGCACTGCAAGCTCACCTGCGCGCGCCAGGCAGCGTACGCTGGCGGCGGCTGCTCCCACTAGGGAAATGGCCCGTTACCATTACGAACAACGATTTGCGTGAGTTGCTCGCGCGGTTGCTCCTGTCGGGTGGCGGTGGCGGGGGAGGCAGTGGGGAGGGGGCATTGTTGGACCAGTTAGACAGGGGCTCGACTGAGGGCTGGGGCAGCTGAATGGTCACTCGTCGTGCTCTCCTAGAGACATCTACGGTCATCTCTGCACGCCACATCGCGAAGTGGGAGAGGTTTAACATTCTGTTTGGGTCCTCACCAGATCGGCTTGGCTCCTGGACCCGGCTCTTGGCTCGGTGTGAGAAGTATAACATTCCATTTGGGTCCTCACCAAATTGGCTCGCCTCGACCTGGCGCTTGGCTTGGTGTGAGAGGTTTAACATTCCGTTTGGGTCCTCACCAGATCGGCTTTGCTCGACCCGGCGCTCGGCTCGGTGTGTGCCATGCAGTGAGCGCTCTTTGGTCTCCGCCCGAGCGGCACGCGGTGAGGCCTGTTCGCAAATTGTTCAACAGCGCGTAGCGCGCAGCTTAGCTGTGCTGACGCCATCCAAAGTCAATCGCGGCATTAGCCGTTATAAATCAATACAGAAGCTGGAATTGCTGAAAGTTGATACCAAGTTAGTTTGGTCACACACACAAACACACACACACACACACACACACACACACATATATATATATATATATATATATATATATATATATAGACACGAAGTAAGTTTGGAAAAAGATAACGTACAGCGGAAGCAAACCGTTCATGCCCCCGACCTGGGCTACCGGCGAGCTACCTTGGCAACCTTGGCCTTCTGCCTTGGACACCTTGGCCATCTACCTGGCTATCTTGGCCTTCTGCCTTGGGCACCTTGGCCATCTACCTGGCTATCTTGGCCCTCTGGCCAGCTACCTTGGCAAGCATTGAGCGTACGATGCAGCAATTTCTATTCACCGGCATGCTAACATATTAACATGCTCCGTGAAAGTTTGAAGAACTTTCCATCGCATTACTTTCCATTACTCTTTGCCGCGGTCACGTCACACAGACTTTGCTTTCACACCCGATAAAAATGACGCTCTTAAGAACTCTCGAAGAAGATAGATTCTAGAGAACTTAACCCTGGTTCTGTATTCATTTGATAGCTGTGGTCGAAGCACAGGATGATGTGCTTCATGCACATGCCTGTAGGTCAGATCGTTCAAGCCAAGTCAAAGGCACCAAATGAACGACTTTCATTTGAAGAATTTTGTGTTTCTTTCACGACGTGGTTTGATTTATCTTCTGTCACATTAAACGATGTTAGTTGCATTTGGACAAGCATCAGGGCGGTGCAACGGATTTTGAGTTGGGGTCGGGGGCATGACGAGCATCTGCCCGCAGAGGGACAATACCCCCCTCTGCCCCCCGCCCCCTGATGCGTGACCCCTGACAAGCACCGCAGAGCGGGGTTTGCTCCGGTGTTGTATGCGCTCTGCTTAGTTCGTGAGATTTCGGGGTGACAGCCATAGATCCAATACTTGACTCTGATGGCTTGGTAATACCTCACACTCACCGAGGAGCACCATCGACGCATGACCCAGGATGTCGCCTGGGATGCGATGCCGCCTATCCCACCACGCCAAAGCATGCACGTTCTGACGCACTGAAAGGGACATGCATTCACTACATCTAAGCGTGCTTGCCTTCGTTGGCCCGCCAAAGGTCATGCGGGTCAAGGTCATGAACGATGATGTTCCATGACGCCT